TCACAACTGCAGCCAGAAGGGCGAAACAACCGTAATAATTTAACAGATCAAACGTTCTATCACCTGATGAGGTATCTTGAGCGGGATTAGTTTGTAAGTCTCCAACTGCCTCATCTATATTGTGTTGTTCAATAGCCAGTTTGTCTAATTTCTTCCGAGCCAAAACGTCAGTCTGTAATTCAGTCAAGATTAAAGCATCGTCATCCAAGATGTCTTCTTCTACCTGGAATATAATCATAATTTACTTGACACCAGCCTTAAGCATACAATAGTTGATGTAAGGTTTGTACAATTTGGGCCACTCGGATATTTTTAGCATAGAGGCTTGTTCTGTAGAAGGATTGACACTGTCACAACCACTGCCTGGCAGTAAACTCTTATTACAACTTTCGACATATAGCTTAGTGACATATTTACTTTCGACCCCTTACGAACCTACACTCTCTACCCGCTCTTCTGCCTACTCTTTCTACTCTGCTGTTCAGCCTAGTCTCTCTACCCTGCTCTTAAGTCTACTCTCTCTACTCTTCAGCCTACTCTCACTCTCTACCCTGTTCTTAAACCTACTCTCTCTACCCTTTTCTTAAGTCTACTCTCTCTACCCTGCTCTTCAGCCTACTCTCTCCACCTTGCTCTTCAGCCTATTCTCTCTACCTTGCTCTTCAAGACTAACTGTACCCTCCTCTTCAGCCTATCCTCTATACCCTGCTCTCTAGCCTGCTTTTGAGCATACTCTCTTTACCCTGGTCTTCAGCCTACTCTCGCTTACCTGCGCTTCGTCCTACTCTCTCTACCCTGCACTTCAGCCTACTCTATCTACCCTACTCTTCAGGATACTAACTGTACCCTCCTCTTCAGCCTATCCTCTATACCCGGCTCTTCAGCCTACTCTTTCTACTCTGCTCTTTAGCCTACTCTCTCTACTCTGCTTTTCAGCATACTCTCTCTATCCTGCTCTTCAGCCTATTCTCTCTACCCTGCTCTTCAGCCTACTCTCTCTACCCTGCTTTTCAGCCTACTCTCTCTATCCTGCTCTTCAGCCTATTCTCTCTACCCTGCTCTTCAGCCTATCCTCTATACCCGGCTCTTCAGCCTACTCTCTCTACCCTGCTCTTCAGCCTACTCTCTGTATCCTGCTCTTCAGCCTATCCTCTATACCCTGCTTTCTCTACTCTGCTTTTGAGCATACTCTCTTTACCCTGGTCTTCAGTCTACTCTCGCTTACCTGCTCTTCGTCCTACTCTCTCTACCCTGCTCTTCAGCCTACTCTCTCTACCCTACTCTTCAGGATACTTACTGTACCCTCCTCTTCAGCCTATCCTCTATACCCGGCTCTTCAGCCTACTCTTTCTACTCTGCTCTTCAGCCTACTCTCTCTATCCTGCTCTTCAGCCTATTCTCTCTACCCTGCTCTTCAGCCTATCCTCTATACCCGGCTCTTCAGCCTACCCTCTATACCCTGCTTTTCAGCCTACTCTCTGTACTCTGCTCTTCAGCCTACTCTCTCTACCTTGCTCTTCAGCCTACTCTCTCTACCCTGCTCTCTAGCCTGCTTTCTCTACTCTGCTTTTGAGCCTACTCTCTTTACCCTGGTCTTCAGCCTACTCTCACTAACCTGCTATTTGGCCTGCTCCCTCTACTCTGCTCTTCAGGATACTAACTATACCCGGCTCTTCAGCCTATCCTCTCTACCCTGCTCTTCAGCCTACTCTCTCTGCCCTGCTCTTCAGCCTACTCTCTCTACCCTGCTCTTCAGCCTACTCTATCTACCCTTCTCTGCAGCCTACTCTCTATGCCTGCTCTTCAGTCTACTCTGTCTACTCTGCTCTTCAGCCTACTCTCTATACCCTGCTCTTCAGCCTATCCTCTATACCCTGCTCTCTCTACTCTGCTTTTGAGCCTACTCTCTTTACCCTGGTCTTCAGCCTACTCTCTTTACCCTGGTCTTCAGCCTACTATCTATACCCTGCTCTTCAACCTGCTCGGCAGCCTACTGTTTATCCTGTTCTCTGCAGTCCGCCCTTCAGGCTTCAAATGATTATGAACGTCGTGACCTGCCTGCTAACCTGCTATTTGGCCTACTCTCTCTACCCTGCTTTTCAGGATACTCTATCTAGCCTGCTCTCTCTACTCTGCTCTTCAGCCTGCTCTCCCTACCCTACTCTTCAGCCTATCCTCTATACCCGGCACTTCAGCCTACTCTCTATACCCTGCTTTTCAGCCTACTCTCTTTACTCTGCTCTTCAGCCTACTCTCTCTACCCTGCTCTTCAGCTTACTCTCTATGTCCTGCTCTTCAGCCTACTCTCTCTAGCCTCCTCTCTGTGCCCTGCTCTTCAGCCTACTCTCTCTAGTCTGCTCTTCAGCCTACTCTCCATGTCCTGCTCTTCAGCCTACTCTCTATCCTGCTCTTCAGCCTACTATCTATACCCTGCTCTTCAACCTGCTCGGCAGCCTACTGTTTATCCTGTTCTCTGTAGTCCGCTCTCTTTACCCTGCTCTTCAGCCTACTATCTATACCCTGCTCTTCAACCTGCTCGGCAGCCTACTGTCTATCCTGTTCTCTGTAGTCCGCTCTCTCTACTCTGCTCTTTAGCCTACTTTCTCTATCCTGCTCTTCAGCCTACTCTCTCTACCCTGCTCTTCAGCCTACTCTCTCTATCCTGCTCTTTAGCCTACTTTCTCTATCCTGCTCTTAAGCCTATCCTCTCTACCCTGCTCTTCATCCTACTCTCTTTACCCTGCTCTTCAGCCTACTCTCTTTACCCTGCCCTTCATCCTACTCTCTCTACTCTGCTCTTCAGCCTACTCTCTCTAGCCTGCTCTCTATCCTGCTCTTCAGCCTGCGCTCTCTACCCTGCTCTTCAGCCTACTCTCTCTAGCCTGCTCTCTCTACTCTGCTCTTCAGCCTACTCTCTCTAGCCTACTCTCTCTACCCTGCTCTTCAGCCTATTCTCTCTACCCTGCTCTTCAGCCTACTATCTATACCCTGCTCTTCTACCTGCTCGGCAGCCTACTGTTTATCCTGTTCTCTGCAGTCCGCCCTTCAGGCTCCAAATGATTATGAACGTCGTGACCAGTGACCTTTTCGGAAGTAGATAGCCATAGAGATGTACATATTTTTATCGCTGAATCAGCAGATAGTTGTTTTCACGTCGTGCTTTTCGACTCGGGCACAACAGGCTGTGGATAATGCGTAAAGTCAAAATCGTGTAAATTGTTGTTTTCATTAGAATGAAACGTCTTTTAGGAATGACTTATAGGCAATTGGTAGTGCTGAGAAGTTTCTGGCCCGATGGGGTGGCCTAGGGGTTAAAGCGTTTGCTCGTCACGTTGAAAACTCTACTCTATCTACCCTTCTCTGCAGCCTACTCTCTATGCCTGCTCTTCAGTCTACTCTGCTCTTCAGCCTACTCTCTATACCCTGCTCTTCAGCCTATCCTCTATACCCTGCTCTCTCTACTCTGCTTTTGAGCCTACTCTCTTTACCCTGGTCTTCAGCCTACTCTCTTTACCCTGGTCTTCAGCCTACTATCTATACCCTGCTCTTCAACCTGCTCGGCAGCCTACTGTTTATCCTGTTCTCTGTAGTCCGCTCTCTCTACTCTGCTCTTTAGCCTACTTTCTCTATCCTGCTCTTCAGCCTACTCTCTCTACCCTGCTCTTCAGCCTACTTTCTCTATCCTGCTCTTTAGCCTACTTTCTCTATCCTGCTCTTAAGCCTATCCTCTCTACCCTGCTCTTCATCCTACTCTCTTTACCCTGCTCTTCAGCCTACTCTCTTTACCCTGCTCTTCATCCTACTCTCTCTACTCTGCTCTTCAGCCTACTCTCTCTAGCCTGCTCTCTATCCTGCTCTTCAGCCTGCTCTCTCTACCTGCTCTTCAGCCTACTCTCTCTAGCCTGCTCTCTCTACTCTGCTCTTCAGCCTACTCTCTCTAGCCTACTCTCTCTACCCTGCTCTTCAGCCTATTCTCTCTACCCTGCTCTTCAGCCTACTATCTATACCCTGCTCTTCTACCTGCTCGGCAGCCTACTGTTTATCCTGTTCTCTGCAGTCCGCCCTTCAGGCTCCAAATGATTATGAACGTCGTGACCAGTGACCTTTTCGGAAGTAGATAGCCATAGAGATGTACATATTTTTATCGCTGAATCAGCAGATAGTTGTTTTCACGTCGTGCTTTTCGACTCGGGCACAACAGGCTGTGGATAATGCGTAAAGTCAAAATCGTGTAAATTGTTGTTTTCATTAGAATGAAACGTCTTTTAGGAATGACTTATAGGCAATTGGTAGTGCTGAGAAGTTTCTGGCCCGATGGGGTGGCCTAGGGGTTAAAGCGTTTGCTCGTCACGTTGAAAACTCTAGTTCGATTCTCCACATGGGTACAATGTGTGAAGCCCATTTCTGGTGTTCGCCGACGTGATATTGCTGGAATATTGCTAAAAGGCGGCGTAATACCATACTCACTCACTCACTGACAATTTTAGATGAAGCAATTAACAAAATATTTAAAATTGAAAAGAGGTGCTTTTCTCCCATAATAATTTTCTTCTCGTTGAAGTACAGTGAAGAAGAACAGAAGCAACCTTTTCCATGCTAACACTTTATTGCGTCATATGTATTTTGGTACATACACATACACAGTCATATGTATCTTTATACAAAATATATTATAACAAACAGTCAAATAAAATGTACAAACATATGTCTGTCAGATAAAACGGCACAACACGAGCTTACGTATTGCAACAAGAGCACTTGAGTAGATGTTTTGTTTCTCTGTTGTTTTAAGGCTTAAACTTTAAAACGTTTGCTTCATAAAAAGAATAAGTGTGTAATATCTGTTTTATTCCTTTTAGGGCGTGTCACCCAGATTTGACCCTTGGAGGCTTACAACATTGGATCAAAGCGAGGTTGCCACTACATGCACGGGTCTGAGCACTTAACAATTGTAAAAGCTTTCAGTATGCAAAATCACTTAACAACGAGTTGAACAATATTTTCGAAACCAAAGTATTTGCGATCATATAGTTTTAACATAGGTTAAATGGATACAAATTATTTTGTATTCGAACCTATAGCCAGCGGATCCGACCTGACAGCCACACACCGACCTACCTCTGTCAGAATTACTGGCGTGATGGAATCTGTAGGAGAGTTGCAGGTGGGTATTAGATCTGTCGAATTCCACGACCATCACGTGACCTAGGTCAGGAGACAACTGCTGTATGTATACATACTCACAGTGATGATGGTATTAACCGATATCAGCTATAGAGTTCCGGATATCGAGACAGCTCCGGATATAACGAAGTTATATATATCCTAAAGTCAGTTCCCAATGTAACGAAGTATGAAATATCTGACAGTCAGCTCTATTTATAAGGAAGATATAAAGTGCACACCGGATACGTCGAAGTTTTAAATACTGTAAAGTCAGCTTCGGGATACAGTTATAAATACAGAAACAGTTAGCTCCGAATGCAGTAATATATTGTGGGAAGTCTGCTCCGGATAAGACGAACACATGCACAGGACAGTCAACTGTAATGGTGCCACATTTCGCAGTGCATTAATATTTTTCATGTAAATAGAAACTTTCAGTTGTAACGAAAACAAAAATATAAACAGTTAGACACATCAGAAGATTACTGCCGTCTCCTGTTGTCTCGAACCCAACCAGCCGACATTCCTCCATTGAAAAATAATTACACGTCAAACTATATATCATAATTGAGAATGTCGATCTACGCTGCAGCCAGTATAGGGATTCTTAACGTCTTGATCAAGCCTGGACCAGGCGAACCAGTGGTGGGAAGTATGAGCAGGGTCCAGACACCGTATGGGTACATTTAGACACAAATGTTCAGGATCCCATATGACAACCTTCCAATCCCATTCTGATGGGGTACCCTTTTTAGACTTGATTGTGGCCCTACTCGGCCAATATTTGGAGCAATATTAACCCACTTTGTTCCTTGTAACCTGTGGAGATTGGGTGGTTCAACGGTGGTCATCTTGCGCGTGACACAAGCCGGGTTCGATCAATATTGTCATCAACATCGTCACTATACATAGTTCACCGTCGTTCCAGACCTTGCTGGTCTACTTGGATCTAGTTGACGTTGATAAGGTTTGTCACGTGATGTACGTGAGGTGACAAGGTCAGCGAGTGCTGTGTTTCAACATGGCGCCGGAGGTCCACTTTACGTTGAAAGGCGCGACCACATCTATCGCAGGCGAAGGGTTTGAATCCAGTGTGTTTGCGACTGTGGGTGATAAGGTTTGATGATTGACTGAACGCTTTGCCACATTGAAGACACTTGTGCGGTTTCTCGCCTGCAATATAAACAAACAGGATTAAATGATATCACCACTCACGCTGATGAGGAGAGAGGAGTGAATATGCCTTATTATCTTACCTTTATGTAAAATACTTTAATTTCATTGGTCGATGACGCTTTAACAAGTTTCTGTGTGACCCCTCCCGGGTGGTGTGTGTGTGTGTGTGTGTGTGTGTGTGTGTGTGTGTGTGTGTGTGTGTGTGTGTGTGTGTGTGTGTGTGTGTGTGTGTGTGTGTGTGTGTGTGTTGACAACTGGAAAAATTATTACCCCTGCCACGGTAACCGGCAAACTCTCCGCCGAGAGGCTGTATCATTAACAAACGTATGACGTCATAATATGACGGATGCAGTAGAAGGAGTTCGAAAACAGTTCGATTAGCTGTTTTTGAGTTCACTATGTAGACATTTATTTCACCGACTTTCACTGCTTTATTTACACTATTTTATACATTGAATCGTTTGCACACTCAACTTAAACATAATTAACCATTTTTATATCAGTTTTAAGCTTGTCAGAATATGTTTAACTGGTTTTAAAATTTCAGTCGAGAGGCAGACGCCATTTTGTTTACATTTAATATAGTGGGTAGCGATCTTCAAAGATAAAATGATATTTTGTACATTCAACATGGGGGTAAGATAAATACGTTGTATGCTTCTCCCTCGGGTAATACGGTCTGATGTACACCTTTTCGTAGCAGTGCCATCCCTCGCCAGACCGTATTACCCTCAAGAGAAGCATACATCTTATATTATTACTCGCCCGTGGAAGATACCGCAGTTTATTACTACGAGGGCGAAAATATTGGGGTTCATATTTTTCATACGATGCCCTAGGGCAAAATATCACTTTGTTATGGTGACGTGACGTCATGAACAATGTTATGACGTCGTGTTTGTTCCATGACCTTGCTTTCTTCATGCGGCGACGGCGGGTAGCCAGCCTATGTTTGAAAGTAGATTTGGGTTTATTTTCCTCAATTTGACGACTTCAGTAATAAACTGAATATCATATTCGTGCCCATATCATGCTATGTTTACGACACTCGTGCCTAAATATCGGTATATCCCTCGCTCTCGCTCGGGAAATACCAACATTTAGACACTCGTGTCGTAAGCATAGTATGACATGGGCACTCATATAATGTCGTCTCTGTAATATTTGTACGGTAATATAACACTATTGTAATACCGCCAGAATTATGACGTCATAATTGTTTGCAGTTGTGACGTCACAATGCTAATATCTCTGCCGGTCACAGTGACTCGTGGAAAGCTGAGAGTCATCACACTGTAGGCAGTTTCTATCAGTTTACGTTGGAGAGTAATACCATTTTTATTAAACTCGTGAAAGATTTACTACCAACCATAATTAATTGTCATTTAACTATATCAGTAAACGAGTTATTTTCAATGTTAAAACGTTTCATGGTCTAAAACTGACTCTTGTGCCAGGATAAATCGCTGTATGTTGGAAGTTCACGACAATGCTGATATAATCCATTGTGAAGTCATAGGTTACCATGACGTCACAATCAAATGACATCACTTAACTTGGCACTGGAGCTGTTTAGCTGCACTTTTTCCACACAAGACCCACTTTTACACACGTCTAACACTGCTACTATTGTTAACAAACTTAAAATAACGGACGAATTATTTTGGATAATACACAGAATCTCACCGCTTGTCTTTTGACATCAAATATGTCAACACTCCCTGAAAAAAACCTTCCAAATCATCGGCACTCTTAAACACTTGTCAAATCGTGTTGATATATCCGATATCAGAATACATTCGGCTGAGATTTTCTACTGTTCGCTACACTCAATTATCAGTAGAACTTTCAAATGTTTCTTTTCAGTTGGTTTCAGAAGGGAGACTGGATTTATCTATATGCCAAATAATAAAACTCGGTCTACGGTCAGATGAGCGAACACTTTCTCCTGTAGGCTAACCGTGGGGAAATAAGCTGAATGTATTAGTGTGAGGTTCTGAAGTGGTACAAAACGTACAACATAGTAGAAAACCAAAAGTATGGCATGGTTCTGTCAGACCACGTATAATAATAGGGAGGAAAGCGGCTTCCAGACCAACAATCAGCAGATACTACGACGCTAAGGGACGCAACTCTGCACGCAGATTTGTGGAGCGTTTGGCCCCTGGGTAACATATTAACCTGTGGACAACACACACGCAAAATAAAACAAAGTCACAAATTTGTATTTCACGGGTTTAAGTTATTCATCAACATGATGAATTTTCCGACTGATCAAGACCATTTATTATGCCATACGCCAGTGTCACGGGACAATCCCAGGAATCAAGGTTATACATAAAATATGATCAACGTCAAAAATGTCACCCAGATAATGTCCCTATTTTGCAATGGAAACAAACAAGTCACGTAACACTCGTCTCTCGTTAAAGGGGGAGTCCGTCTAAATGTCAGGTCCTGTTCGAGTCGTAAACGTGATTGATGCGACGGGACGATATGTCAACAGCGAGCCTACATTAAATATTTATAATGTTAAAAGTCAATCTCATACCAATCAGAGAGCTTTACGCAGGGGCGGTATTTGGTTCAAGCATAAGACTAATCTAATAGCAGAGCGATTGTTTTCTCTGTCAGATTGCAATACCAATCAGACCGCCCGTTGCTACATCATAGCGGTTGGCGCGCGCGCCGGCGGTGACGTTTACCCTGACATTTGAAATCTGAGCACGTGAAATGTCAAATTCATTTCAAGAAATCCCTCCTGAAAACTCTTGATCAGTTTAATTCTGAAGGTGTCCAACAATCCTACTGTGGCCGTACAGATTGTCTAGTATCAGTGTGGATTGTGTTTGATCTGAGGAAATAACAATTAGTTTATGAAGTTATGGGACAATTAGCGCACGTGAACCAAATACGATAAAAGCATGTTCTGTGTAAAATCTCACTTTAAAGTTTTTGAAAAAGAGAGATTTGTAGTTATTTGATTCTGGAGTTATTCCATACGCGATGGAGCGAGTGTCGTTGTAGACGATGTTGAGAACGCTGCAGGACAGGGGAAGAAACACTGCAGTGAAATAATGCATCCGCGTTGGGAATCGACCTCGCGTCTTTAAAGTGACTAGCAAGCGCTTCAACCATTAGGCTACCGCCCCGCTCTGCATATAGTCCTCATAAGTAAAATGATTTATTTTTACCAAAATGTTCGATGCAAATATGTTATCGAAAGTGATTTAATAAACCAACGTTTGATGGAATGTTACTAAAAGCGGCGTAAAACTAAACCCACTCACTCACTCTTAATTTCGGGACCGTAACTGTCTGGTGTTGCCCCAAATCCAGATTAGCAATAGTCCGGTTTTGACAGGTTATGTTGTACATTCATTCACGGGACTTGTTTATACACATTCTGAGGATTAGTGTGATCGAACATATTTAGTCTGTATATGTTTATTCACACATACATTATACCCAAGAAACACGTTTAATTCTAATTAATTCATTGACTCCACTTATGACGTCCGTTTCAGTTAAATCTTCGAGTAACATATGGTTAAAACATGAATGCTCTGTGCAAATTATAATTAGAACATTAGGAAAATATCTACACAAGCTATATTCCATTTCAGTTTCTAATTCAATCACGCTGATAGCCTGCCACAAAGGTGGCTTCTCTGTAATAAAACACGCTGTCCCGCCGTCGCCATAATGTAGCCGTGCACGCATCTGTTACCAGCCGGTGTGAATGTACCCCGGATATGACAGGGACAGTGTTGTGATTCTGTATGTAGGCATCGTGCAGCTGGTGGAGGGTGTTACACACTTATTGTCACGGGAATCTTTAGACATAAACCCGCCATTTCCTTAGGTCCTGTTGCAAAGCCTTCATGCGTGAACACATTTTGGTATGACATGTTTCACGCTAACAGCTTGTTCGACGCGACTTCAGCCCTCTCGCTTGGTAATGTTTCGGGGGAAAATATGTTAATAAGAGCAGTTTTCTTCTAGAGCTGTTTACCAGATATTCTTATACACTAATGTCTTTCATTGTATCGACGACCGTAGAGTGTACTTAACGCTTCCGACGAGACCCGTGATTACCTAGACCGGATGTACCCGTCATCTTAGAAAATTAAATATTAAAAAAATAATTATATAAACAAGACTAGAAAAAACAATATTATCAACAGTGAAACATATGGCGATTGATTTTGGGTAAAACATCTCTTTGTGATGACGTCACGTAGAGACACAGGTCCAACCGGACTTTCCCAAACCTCCCTACAAAGACACGAATGTCGGGAAATGATTGTATTATTAGAAAACCAACAAAGATACATTGTACTCATACCAGCTTTTCAGGAATTACCTATTTGATTAAAACGTATCCTTTGTCTCAAAGCACAATAAAGATGAGGTATTTTTAAGTCCTCCATAAAATGAATATCGAACTCCATATATATTTTATAAATAAGTTTAAAATTTGTCAGTGTAAGTTAAATACAAAAGAAAGCAACTATATGAACTGGCTTTCTACACTAATACTTCATTAACTCACTAAGACAGCAAAACCTGTCGAAATAGGATATTTGTTGCTATTTTTTAATTTGGTTTTTGGAAAAGACAATTAAAATATTGCTCTGCGTTATACAATGAAAGTAACACGTGCTGCAAAAAAACATATGGAGAACTGAACATATTCAAACTGATTATAAAGTAGAAGTATAAAGGGTAATGGACTGAAACTGTGAACCCTTTATTACCATGCCGATGCGGAATGTGATTGTGTCTTTGATGTGTGTGAAGCCCATTTCTGGTGTTCCCTGTCGTGATATTGCTGGATTATTGCTAAAAGCGGTTTAAAACTAAACTCACTCACTCACTCTTTGATGTGCTTTATACTGATGGTTACGTGCCGGAAGTCAACGAATCGTTTAGGGCACAAAGACAGGTTTGTTACAAACAGGTCAATATTTATACATTTCAGTTTACACCTGGCTCTCTTTCAAAGACAACAAAAATGCGCCGAATACAATGACACGTGACTTGGACGCCACAGATGCACGTTCACTGTTGTTATCAAAATGATACATGCAATTCAATTTCATAAAGTGCTAACTAAATGTATATTCGGTTTTATAATTAAACAATGTACTATTTGATAATGAGAAATGATGACAGCATGAATACATTGAGAGCGGCTCACGAAGAACACTGTCGGTAACAGCTGACGCCTGACAAGGTCTTCAGCCATAGAATGTATTTAAGCCTTTGTATGTATGGCAAGCGATGCAGCATATTTAACATGCACGTGTGAACGTCTATACAACGTCTATACAACGTCTTTATAAGTCCCCCGAACTACCGCGTCTATACAACGTCTATACAACGTCTATACAACGTCTTTATAAGTCCCCCGAACTACCGCGTCTATACAACATCTATACAACGTCTATACAACGTCTTTATAAGTCCCCCGAACTACCGCGTCTATACAACGTCTATACAACGTCTTTATAAGTCCCCCGAACTACCGCGTCTATACAACGTCTACACAACGTCTATACAACGTCTTTATAAGTCCCCCGAACTACCGCGTCTATACAACGTCTATACAACGTCTATACACGTCTTACTTTTTCCCACCAATCGGATGGCCCAATTCAGTTTCTGCGGATCTGCTCAGATCACTTGAATGTCAAGGCCATCTGTGGCCGACAAGTGAGTGTGATTGCCGAGGGTTTTGGAGAAAGTGCCTGCTTACTGTCGAGGAAATGATTTGTAGATATTGCAATAAGTTTTTAGACCCGTGGAATGCCGCTGCCGATCGAATCTAGCCCTACATAGGTGCTGTCATAGGAATTAATAAACGAATTAAAAAGGTGAGTTTTCGCTGTCTTGGGTGATCCATGATTTTGGCTTGGAATTGCGGAGGTAGCTGTTTTCGGTGAGTCGTGGCGTATAACTTTTGAAATAATGATCCGATTGTGACCATTTATAGCTTATTTTGTAGGGAAATCATCTCGCTTTTGCTCCATGGGCCTCGACGGGGCCTTAAAAATAGTTTACGTGGTGAAATCTAACTTTGATTGAGGAGGGGGTGGTTCCGTCGTTACATCCCTTTCCTTTTATATAGTACTAGGGTAGGGTCTATATACCTATATGTCTTTCTAACGCTGTTTCTAAGCGTGACACGCCCCTGTGTTTATAAGTCCCCCGAACTACCGCGTCTATACACCGTCTATACAACGTCTATACACCGTCTATACAACGTCTATACACCGTCTATACACCGTCTTTATAATTCCCCCGAACTACCGCGTCTACACACCGTCTATACAACGTCTATACACCGTCTATACAACGACTTTATAAGTCCCCCGAACAACCGCGTCTATACACCGTCTATACAACGTCTATACACCGTCTTTATAATTCCCCCGAACTACCGCGTCTATACACCGTCTATACAACGTCTATACAACGTCTATACACCGTCTTTATAAGTCCCCCGAACTACCGCGTCTATACAACGTCTTTATAAGTCCCCTGAACTACCGCGTCTATACAACGTCTATACAACGTCTTGATAAGTCCCCCGAACTACCGCGTCTATACACCGTCTAAACAACGTCTATACACCGTCTATACAACGTCTATACACCGTCTGTACAACGACTATACACCGTCTATACAACGTCTTTACACCGTCTTTATAATTCCCCCGAACTACCGCGTCTATACACCGTCTATACATCGTCTATACACCGTCTTTATAAGTCCCCCGAACTACCGCGTCTATACAACGTCTATACAACGTCTATACAACGTCTTTATAAGTCCCTCGAACTACCGCGTCTATACAACGTCTATACACCGTCTTTATAAGTCCCCCGAACTACCGCGTCTATACAACGTCTATACAACGTCTTTATAAGTCCCCCGAACTACCGCGTCTATACAACGTCTATACACCGTCTATACAACGTCTATACAACGTCTTTATAAGCCCCCCGAACTACCGCGTCTATAGAATGTCCATACAACGTCTTTATAAGTCCCCCGAACTACCGCGTCTATACAACGTCTATACAACGTCTTTATAAGTCCCCCGAACTACCGCGTCTATGCAACGTCTATACAACGTCTTTTTAAGTGCCCCGAACTACCGCGTCTATACAACGTCTAAACAACGTCTATACAACGTCTTTATAAGTCCCCCGAACTACCGCGTCTATACAACGTCTTTATAAGTCCCCCGAACTACCGCGTCTATACAACGTCTTTTTAAGTGCCCCGAACTACTGCGTCTATACAACGTCTAAACAACGTCTATACAACGTCTTTATAAGTCCCCCGAACTACCGCGTCTATACAACGTCTTTATAAGTCCCCCGAACTACCGCGTCTATACAACGTCTATACAACGACTTTATAAGTCCCCCGAACTACCGCGTCTATACAACGTCTATACCACGTCTTTATAAGTCCCCCGAACTACCGCGTCTATACACCGTCTATACAACGTCTTTATAAGTCCCCCGAACTACCGCGTCTATACAACGTCTATACAACGACTTTATAAGTCCCCCGAACTACCGCGTCTATACAACGTCTATACCACGTCTTTATAAGTCCCCCGACCTACCGCGTCTATACAACGTCTTTATAAGTCCCCCGAACTACCGCGTCTATACAACGTCTATACCACGTCTTTATAAGTCCCCCGAACTACCGCGTCTGTACTGTTACCTGGCAACAGTGTATACTGACGGTATCATCATGATGAGCTGTTGTTGCCGTTAACGTCCATTCTGTCAAAGGTTTGCTGGCAAATAGTACAGGAACATAATAACACCTTCCCAGATATTGCAAGTGTAACCCAGAGTGAGTGAGTGAGTGGGTGAGTGAGTATGGTTTCACCCCGCTTTAAGCAATATTCCAGCAATATCAAGGTGGGGGACACCAAAAATGGGCTTCACACATTGTACTAATATGGGGAATCAAACCCGGGTCTTCGACATGACGAGCGAACGCTTTAACCACTAGACTACTCCAGCGCCCATTGAATCCAGGGGACCAACAGTCCACACATATACAGTGCACATCGAACAGCACGGGCGGTGTTGTTGTTCTATAAACAATCTGAGGATGAAATGTGGAAGAGAGGGGAAACTGAACGAAATATCAGATACTGTCCATTTTGTAAATCAGGAAATATACTTTACTGGACACCAATATCAGTTGGAAATTATTTTAAATTATTTTTAAGAATGGCAGAATTTGTACTTCTCAAATACCTTTGTATCGTACCTTTGTATGGTTACTTTATCATTCTTACTAGGAACACTATTAACATTTGAGACGAACGTTAAAAAAAATAAATAAATGAACGAACGAACGAACGAATAAATGAATGAATAAATGATGATACAATATTTTCCCACCTGCAGTACATTGCGTGGATTTTAATGTATGTGCCTTACATGCTGTGTGAAGGGACCGAAACAAACCAAGACATGTCATTTGGCTTGCATGGACGACCATTGGTCCCAGTAAGTACATTCTGTCTGGCGGTCTCTTACTGGGACCAACCGTTAGCTTTTAATCGTGCTGAGAGATATAGTTAAGAGCAGGTTAAATCTAGAACACTGATATCTCTGCCGGGTGGGTTGAAGGATGTCTGTATCTGTCGTGGCTAGCAACAATCAAGTATGTTAGTAAGAGTTTGTTTACTAAATCTGATGAAGTTAAGTCATTTTATTTTTAAAAACACCAACGTCGATGCAAGAGCATACTTCACAGAAAATGATTTACATCTTTGCGCATAGTACACGTGATACAGGCAGACACATAAATAGTGAGTGAGTATAGTTTTGCGCCACACTCAGCCATATTCCAGCTATATGGCGTCGGTCTGTGAATAATCGAGTCTGGACCAGACAATCCAATGATCAACAGCATGAGCATCGAGAGCGGCAACTAACAAACAACAAACAACAACTAACAAACGCGTCTCGCCAAATAGGGAACTTAACGATCTTAAAAAAGTACACACCTGTGATCGAAGTTTACTTCAAATAATATAAATATAAACTTGTTAGTCGATGCACAGGCAAACTGTAGCGCAAATAGGGTTGCGCAAAAAAAGAGAAAATGACCAGTCATCCTATATGTGAGCGAAGCGCTTCGCTCGCATATGTAAAGGCTGGTCATTTTTCTCTCTGTTGCGCAACCCTATTTGCGCTACAGTTTGCCTGTGGTTCATGGTGACGTATGTCCTGCGTGTATCACAGATATGTTGTGTATCAAATGTTTATGGTGTTTCGGAGTGTTTTCAGAGCACTAATGTTTTGATAATTTGTAATGAGTAATTTTTTTATTTATATTCAGCTTTCAAGTATGAGCTTTCTTTGTACTTGTCCATATTGCGTCGTAGAAAATGTGACCCACTTGTCCACGTACACGTGAAATGTTATATTGACCAGTAACATATTGACTAAATGATCATATTGACTAAATAAGTGAATGATCAGTATATATCGATCTGACTGAACCCCTCATTAACCTAGATTGTCATATGACAATGATATAATTGATGGACGTTGGACAATGAATTAGGTCAAGAGTAGATGGATGAAATACACTTTATACCACGCCTGACCTTCAAACGTCAGATATGTGGATATAATACTTTGTTGACCTCTGTCAGTCGGGGAGAACTGCTAGATAAGCTTAAAAGTCTTCAAATGAGACACCTAGGGCGGGCCAATCAGAATGAAGCAAAATATTAGACTCGAACGCAAGACCGTCCGCTCATCCTGAAACAATAAAGGGGGGGGGGGGGTGTGTTAACTTGCTCGATTGTTTTATCTTGCTTACAACACCGGCGTCTCCATTGTTATCGAGGCAGATCTCTCTCATCGATATCACCTTTGATATTGACAACATGACCAATGATTTCCTTTCCCTGACGAATCAAATATGTTCATAGATTGTATTTTGATTCTAATTATCAATTATCAAAATATGAAACTTGGATATTTCCGTATGTGTCAATATTTTACTGGTTTGTGATCCGGAAGGTGTTCGATATACTGTCAGTCAGTCGTCAGACAGACAAAACAACACTGATCGTATATTTAGTAGTCTTATTTACTTAATTGGTTATAATTTGAATGAAGACTTAATGTAAATACTCAAATTGATTTATCCCCCCATACAATACGTGTGGCCTTTCTAAGTATCACGTGTCAGTCAACACACACTATTTCAACTACAGGGGGCGCAAGTAGGACAGTGAGTGAGTGAGAAACAGGTCCGTTTTCAAAATACGAGTCCCTGGTTTGCCTGGAGAGGCTGTGAGCCTTTCAGGGCAAGTAACGTCACCAGCCCTGATGAATACCTCCCGACTCTTCTTTAATATAACCCGTGTTTTATCGTAAATTTACTGATTTCAATGACAATTATTAAATTACAAATATACATGTCTAAACAATTGAATCATGGCCGGCCCGATGAACTAAAGATCACAGGCAAGGCGGCTCCGGTGGCCCCAAGACGCGAAGGCAGGGCTGATTCGATATCTGAAGATGCGACAGTTGGGGTGGTATAAAGATTCTTAGGCTTTTGGTCCATGGTTTACCCAAACCTACAAAAACCGTGAGGTTATAGTTGGGCCAGTGGTCGTCTTAGCATAGGTAATTGATTGAGGAAATGCAGATTAACGAAGAAAAAATGCTACATGTAAAAATTCAAGTTTGGAGCAAGGGAACTTTTCTAACCAGAAATTCGTTTGTGTTTGGATTTGATTATAGGTTCGAATCCGGTAATCATTATCCTTTTGTAACTCCAACAACCACGACCACACCATGTACCTGACCATTGAAGATCTGGGGTTGAGTTGGTCTTCATCAACCCATGCTTGTCGTAAGGGACGATTAAGGGGATCGGATCGTCAGGCTCGCTGACCTAATTAACTGCTTGGCGCAGATCGATGCTCGTAAATCACTGGATTGTCTGGTCCCGACTACAGCTAGGTCTTGTTTCAAACAACAAACATAATGAACCTACCAGTGTGGATGTAGGTGTGTTTCTTCATGTCGGACTTCTGGTGGAACCGCTTCCCGCAGTAGGGACAGGGATAAGGTCGCGTGTCACTGTGAATCAGCAGGTGCGTGGACAACGTGGACGATCTCTTGAAGCACTTCCCGCACTCTTTACACTGGAAGCTCTTCTCCTGCGTGTGGACAGAACGATGCTGGTCTAGACTAACGGAATGGCCAAATGTCTTATTGCATACGTCACAAGCGAATGGCCGCGTGCCACTATGGCAACGTCGCACGTGCACCTCGAGTCCGTGAGGTGTGCTGAAGAGTTTGTTGCACTGCGCACACTCAAATGTTGACGAGATCTCGTGAGAGTCCTTTTTGTCCGACATGTGAAAATTGTCTCTGAAGTTCCCGCCGAGTCTCGAGAACAAAGCGGGATCTGGTCTTGTCGGACACTTTACATATTGGTAGGGGTAGAAGATATTGTGGGGGAAGAAAAGCAAACTGTCCAGGGGCACGTGCAGATCTTTGGCGGGACGCGTGAACAGGTAACCCGGATGTCGCCCAATCTGACTGTTTTCACATACGGGCACTGCAAAGAGATGTCAAGCACCACTGAATATGTACCCACGATTCCATCAAGTACCCGTGTTACGTGAAAAAATCAAATTATTTCTTTATAAGAACCTGTACAGTTTCCTAAGAGCTTTATTGTGTCGGGCGTGGTTACCTTTAAGGAACACGAAAACACCATTATTATCGTGAAACAATATTATCAGCCATGCAGTGTCTCAAACCTGTGCCCGTAAACATAAAACGTCTTAAAACATATTTACTCTGCTTAACATTTTGTCTTTCCCTATTACACACTCACAGAAAGCTTTCGAATAGGAATCTTTCACGGTCGAGAGTTCTGTCCTCTGTTCTTGCGTCAGCCATGGTCGGAAGGCCGCGAAATTCCCACCAATGGTTGATATTTTTGACGACGTCTCCTTGTTGAGATCGGAATGGTCACGTGATGTATGTTCTGCTCCAGCATCGCCTGTATGTATGGGAGAGGGACTCTTCTTGTCGTTCAGATCTGAGGAATAAAATGCTTTGTTCAAAATGGTTGTCTCGAGTGTTCCGATATAACCACATACCTCATCCAGAAGACAAGTGGGGTTGAACCGAATGATCATCATTCTTTATTACGTATATATGGCCATCGGTTGAACCGAATGATATAACAAATACAGGGTTAAATACATGGTGACGTCATAGTGATAAAGTGACGTCACATACTTGTCATGTCACAATAGAGTGTGAAACTACATTCACACAATGATTACTCCACAGACACGTTCCTCAGAGAGAAACAGTTGCATGTGATAATAAATGTGAGAACTTGTAATAACAGATTCGTAATATCTCTAGTTGTAGAATTCGTTTGGGTTCACACAGCGTTAAAAGGGTTTGTACAAATAGCAGGGTTTTAAAGAATTATTTTCGGTGAAATATTTGGGTGTGCCAACATTCTCTACCTTGTGACTAGCTTTAGAATTGTATTGTGGTAACTCCACGAAACAGCATAGTCATTTGTGACGTAACAAGCAAGTGTTGTCACGTAAATATTATGACGTCATGCTAGCCACTGAATGAAAAAATAATGCATATCCTAATTGCAAAGAGCTCTCTTGGTGTCTCGACTATTTACGATCTACGTTCGTGGTGTATAATAACTCTAATTGTAGAGCTAGGATCGCTTTGTGCACATGGTACCAGGGCAGCGTGTTCCTAATCGGTATGCTAAATAATATAAAAGTAATGGTAAAATACCAAACTGCCATCAAATACACTTTTAGAACGTTCATTATTTTATGAATAAACTGTGACTGATCATTTTAAATTCGGAACAAATCATGAAAAAACCCCAGATACACCTGTAGTTTATCGAAAATTCATTCTAACCTTGTCTTCTATTTGTTTTAGAACTTCATAATTAGAAATTATTCAAATATACGTAACATTCCCTTCATTGCAAGAGAGTGAATGTTACAGATATGTACCTTTTTCTTATATTGTGGACACTCTAATATTGCTGATTTTGCTGTCTACATACATTCAATTTCCGCACAAAAGGAAATATAAATATAATTCATTATATGAATATACTTCAAAATCTAAATACAAAGTATTTGATAAAAATGCAGATGCAATACCCCAAGTCTACGCCAAGTACAGATCCGACCTTTTTCATTTCAAACAAAGTTGTTAAATAATGAATACACTGCACAGCGCTGAGCCCAAAGCCTATATTTACGTCATATTCATCACAATAAAACGGTCACCAAGTCTTTAAAACCGTATAAAATCTATTTCACAACCGTACCGGTATTACTAGTAGTTGGTATTTACTCAAATCTCTTACAATCAAAAATAAATATCTTCAATGTTTGAAGACAGGAAAAAAACCGAATCACAAACGCAATCAGTGACATATAATTGTTTTCTTTCTTTCGCACATTGATTTCCCACGATTACTATTTGCAATACATTAATATAGACAGAGAAATCAGTCTAAATAGTTCCTGAAAGGCCAATTAATCTCCAATGCATGTGTAAAAGCGTGAGTTCACGACGCTGGTTACAGCTCGAGTGTTCGTCAAGAGCTCTGATCAAAGATACATCTAGATAATATAAACAGTCTTTATTTTGAGATGTCCAACACAAGCACCTGTGTCATTGAAGTACTCGGATTTTCATGCCAAGTACCAGACCGACATACACTTTATGGATATTATAAATATTTGATATGAGAAGATTCTCTTGCAACTGAATATATAATATGTATAGGATTTTATCTTGTGGTTACACATTTATATTTACATAAATGGAAATCCAATCATTCGGAGAGCGCGTTGTTTACCTACTTTCCAGCATACCGGACTAGAAATACAATAATTTTTGTCGTAAAATGTAGCAATTATATTTTTAAATATGGTGTTAATAAAACGGCTGAACAGTGGACGTACTTGCATCACAAATAAATGTAGGAACTTCAACATTCGGTTTGGATCACAAATCAGTCTTTCTAAAAGAAGTCAAAATTGTCATAACATATCCACGATTGTGACAGTACTTGAAAATTCTAAATACTGTTAGGTGTACACGTTATTTGTTTGCAAGTTTATATTTTGATCTTCCGTGGCTAAACATCCTCAAACACGATTTGGAGATATTAAACTTGAACAACTGCGATATATCTTTTATATTTTCCATGGCAGGACAAAAACTGGTCCGTGCTGTCCTTCAGAGGAGTCATGTTTCATAAGCTTTTCCCCTAAAAGCTTGAAATAATATATCAAGAGAACACCATCCGATATGAAACTTTCGCTCAAAACGAGAAATGTCTATCTGTTTTCTTTCAGAAATGTTGTTATAAAATTTACTAATTCTTTATGTAAAAATAAAATAAAATTGTGTGACAAAACAGTTATACCATTAGGGGTTACGCGTAGTGTATTTTGTTGAACAAAATCCAAGTTTCATAATAGGGTTAAGTTTTGTAAAATAGCCAAGCACCTCGTCGAGTACCAGGTCTCTGTCAATACTGATCACGCAACGCGTAAGAACTTTATCGAATCCGGTAATAAATAAATTCCATGAAGTTAACATGTTCTTTTTAATCAAATTCATACGTACATTGTATATCTCAAAATATTAAATGACTAAGATATTAATTTACTTACCTATTCTCCGTGGAATGACGAGCTGGAAGGCGCTGGGCGTGCAGTCGGTGGATTCTTCGCGGGAGGTAGCCATCTTCTTTATCAAAAAGGATCTTGGCATTACCAAAATCTGATTACCTTAAATCTAAACACTTAACTTCCTTTACCGAAGGCACAAACTTTACCAGATTAAATCAAGTCGCGTGCACTCTGTCCATATACTGATGTAAACCCCGCCCCCTAGCTAATCAGATAGTTCCGCCGCACGTGCGCGTAGTAATCTGTACACCAGCTGCAACCAATCACAGCTAAGCTTTCAAGTAGCGGTCGCGTGGCTGACAACCACACTTTAAGATTAAATACCAGCGCAAATATTTAGTTCATAGAACCGTGGCTCGATCTTTACCGTTAGAATTAATACCGTGTTTGTGGTACACCGCGTCTCAATGGACGGAGCCTAGTCACACATGGTTTGCGGTTCAAAGCGAAGTACCCGCACAGGGCAGTCGAGCTCTGCGCGCAAGCTTTCCGCGTCAACTCCACAGCTGACGTCTCGGTTAAAATGACATAAATTAAGAATATTTTTGAAAATGTAAATTTAAATTTTGAAATATTATTTAAACCAAAAAATTAAATCTCCCTCAGCTGTGAAATGAGGCTTGGAAATTGAAAAGAGAGGAAAGTTTTAGAATGATTTATTAGCTATGAAACATCCATAACGGGACTATCTTCTTCAAAAGGCTTTCCAGTAGTCGTGTTGTCCTGTAACGACGTGCGGAGGTTTTTCAAGTGCTAATTGGTTTTGTGACACTTCTAAAAGCAATAATACCGGAATAGTGAGGTATAAACGAATATTTAAATATCCAGCATCTATAGACGAAGAATGCGGAGGCGGGATTCAAACTGGTGTTGCATGTCTCAAGGCAATGTCTTGAATTGTCCCCTATCGAAACTTTTGATTGGCTACACATAAAATGCACGTGCTTCATTAATTGAGCAGTGGACTGGGTTGTTAAAGGTCATATTAACTCTTTATCAAGGTCACGTCCAATTTTAACACAATAGTTTCTGGGACTATTGGCAGGATGTTGTACAGAAAGTCCAGATTTCTCCTTTTAGCTGTTTCCCCTTCTTGTATCATCTTAGTTGTAGTTTGGGAAACCATAGTTCATGTTTGTTACGGTATTATTGAAAAAAACACACCAATGAGTGAGTGAGTGTGTGAGGTACGTGTTTTAGTTAGTGTGTAGTGTGTCAGCCGTTCTGTGACTAGAGCCCTGTCAAGAGACAGTAGAAACACTTCCATAATTTTAAATATTTTACTTTTAAAAGAAATTGCTAAATACATGTTTCCAAATGCAAATACCATTCAAAATAATTTTGGATGATTGTAAAAGAAATATAAATCGTTAAGATAAATTTTCTCGAGGAGTGGGTTTGGCCTGTCTCTTTTGCTGAACGCGGGGATAGTAAGAAAGCACCCATTAAACAGTTCAGACAGGATTCTTGTGTAAGTTAGAGAGTGTGGGATACGATAGTGATGTCTTGACTTATTCCAAATTCCTGATGAGTGAGTGAGTGTTGTTCAACGCCATTTATTATCATCGGATATGAAATGTGTTATCATATCGTATGCCCCGAGTGGAATCGGTTTTACCTTTCTCGAGCAACTGCACCGGACTGAGAGATAATACTCAAGGGGGATATAAATTTGTTATGGTATGGGGACAAACCATATTTATTAAAATGACATATTTGTATTTTACTTTCAGTTTATATAAAATGTTGATGCCAGGGTTTTATCACATGAAAAGCATCGCAATAGCCGAGATGAGCCTGGGAAGTCCACTTTGGCAGCGTGTGGATCCTATGTGAAGTGGACACTTAAACGTTGACATGGGTAGGTCTGTCTATCCATCTGTCAGGATTTCGCCGTTGTCATCTCCTTTTGACTACAACGTCATCAGCAACGTTGCCTTCCACAAACACTAAAATGCAAAAGCATAAAAAAATATGTATATTTTTATTCTTAAAAAAAATGATAAAATTCCCAGCCAACCCACCAAACCAGACATAAATAATTTACAAACGGAACAAACATCGCTACTACAAAAGCTGCCCAGTCAGTTGATAGATAAATCTCCCCCCACCTACCCATCTATTTTACCTGAATCCCATGCCTGCAGACTCTCAAGCATTTGGCGTGAAACTCTCACGCTCTCACGATAAAACTGAAAGATCTCACAGTAAACATGGTTCATATCCAAAATAAAAATAAAAATCCCTTAAAAATCACAGAAATAGGTCTGAATACATCGTTTTCAGTGAGAAGGGAGTTTGCAATTTTGCGTTGGCTTCAGGGGAGACTGCGACCCTTGGACTGTGGCTTCTCAAGCTTTTATCTCTCTTGGTGTTGGAAGCCCTGACAACCATTGAACCACTCGTCTACATAATTTTGTTCTGTTTCAAAGAAACATGGAATGGAATATTTAACTGTAAAATCCTAAGCTGTTTACTATTTTTGTTCCTCCAGAACTCAGGGGTGTGGAAATTATATTTATACCTGCCGTTTGGACTGTAAGTAGCTTTAGAATTATCCTGTTTGTAAACCATAGCCTGGCAGAGCCGGTTCTGTAGCCAGATGGCGACAACGCTTGTCACACCCGGGCACCCGGGGTCGCTTCCGATATGGGTGATATTTGAAACCCATTCTCAGTATAAATGTTGCTAAAATACTTTCTCAGCCACCCACATGGTAAACAGGTGGACAAATATGAAACTCATCCTGGCTACTGCTTCATCGCTTGGTTCATCTGCATGGGCCGCATACCAATTACATTTGTAGTCGAATTTTTAATTTCAGAGTATTAAAATGCAGTCGACGAATGAGCACTGTGATCTTAGTTATTAATTAGTTTACTAGACATTGGAACATACCAAATAGGACGCAAGGGGTGTTGGCACTCTCTTTATTTACATGTTGTATATCGGCCAAAATTTGACACCCAACGAGTAAGCGTTTAACAAAAGCAATTGCTAAACATGCGGGAGGTGGTCCTGTAGGTGTGCTTCAGGAGCCCTGACCATGTGTTTAAAACACAGACAGCATTAGCGACATTGCGCTGGGGTGCGACTATTGTAGGTTTTATACACTTGAGGTGCGTGTTCCGTACATATTCGATAAAGCTGTCGGCACAACGATATACTAATCTTATGGGGTTCTAGTAATATATCGTGCTTGTCTACGTCTGTTTCAACACTTTCAGCACAATATCCATGCATTTATTGCAACGAAGAAGTTGTCTATCCATGACAAGTATTCCTCTTCACGATACCAGGTTCTAAATGCCACCAGAAGATTAAAACCATAGTTCAACGCGCTTATCCAATTAGAGATTCGTCACTATTTTGATGATCTACAAACCCATTCAGCTAACGTTTGCATATATCTGCTATTGTCGTATATGTTTCTCTCGTCCTTATATGGCTGAATAAGTGCCGGGGGCGATGGGGTAGCCCAGTGGTTAAAGCGTTCGCTCGTCACGCCGAAGACCCAGGTTCGATTCCCTACATGGGTAAAATTAGTCTGTCTCACAGTCCCTGAACCACATTAATTTCCCTACTACCAAGCTCTCTCTGCAGTGCTAAAGCCCTAAATAAAGCAAGTCTAGATTTCTTCAGGTTTTGGAATCTCTGGTCTCCCTAGGGCTCCTTTTCAATATACATGGGCTTGTTTGTTACTATCAAAATGATATATATTCAGAGACTAAGCCTTAGTCTAGGTTAAAATGTGTGAAGCCCATTTCTGATGTCCCCCGCCGTGATGTTGCTGGAATATTGCTAAAAACACTCACTCACTCACTGAAATAGTGCCGAGAATACATTTTGTGAGAATGTGAGAATACATTTGTGAGAATACATTTTAACTCACTCACTCAATCACTACTAAGCCAACCTTAAAGTGTACTGCATTATGTGTAATACCAAATATTTTTGGTTGCTTCAGGTATAACACAGAGATCACGTGACACTCTTTGTCCTGATGGACGAAAGGTTACTGTTCGACATCCACTCATAGGATGGCAATATGTTGTCAAAGAGGCAGTTCAAAGGAGTTAGATGAAAAGTCCATATATTCATTTCCTCTTTGGAACAACATACCCGTTTCTGGTGCCCCTGTCCTGATCATGCTGGAATATTGCTATAAGCGGCGTAAAACCATACTCACTCACGTTTTGGGGAAATATTGTTGAATGTGAACTCCAGATTTGACATCTACTAAAGTGGCATCATGGTCACTTATTTTAGATAAACTGTTATCTCTGACAATAAAGACGTTTCAAGTGTCCGACGGCCAGGCAAAAGTTTTGTTTCTGTCATCGTGGCAGCTTTTAATCCATATTGCAATTTTACCATGACCAACAATCCATACCCTACTAACAGCGCCGTGAATATATTTGTTTATGTATTTTATGAACGGATTGTATACATTCAATTTTGTTACGACAGTATTCTAGCTTTGCGTCTATTATTATTGATATATCAAAACAATCTACATTGTGTCGGGTAGGTGTGCTAGACCGGATGTTGTATTATAGTGTTTTATTGTGTGGTATGAAAAATATGTCAATTAATTAGGTTATTCTTCATCTTTTTCTATTACTGTATTTTACAATTATATGTAACAAGTTATTCGCCACTTTCATCAACATTCCAGCCCTACCACAGAAGAGACATAAAGACATGGGCCTAGATTTTCGAAGCTCTCTTAGCGCAGAGATAGTCGTAAGTTAATGTTAATGTATGGCACTTACGACTGTCTTAGCCCTAAGAGAGCTTCGAAAATCTAGGCCATGGTCTCTACTCTACACATGAAGGAAATCTGGAGATTCGAACACGACCCTGTGATATGACGAATCAGCGCTTTAACCACTGGACTCCCCGGTTTCCTTAACTGTGTTGGAGTAGTGTATCCACCTCTTTGCATTCGGCGCTGTTCTGTGATGACAAGGACTATTTTCCTTATTTCCCGGTATTCACATGTACTTTGGCGAGGGAAAAATATGTGAATATTTGGTATGTTTTATAAGACGCAGACAGTTGTTTTCACAATAATCGACAACTGGCATATGTAATGTACAACACATAATATATAATATCTAATAAACCACATGTAACGGGCATATACAACATATAATAT